TGTTATCGTTTATGGGGAGATGTTCCTGGTATAAAGTTATAGTGTGGGTGGTAGACCTGTCGATCTAGATTCCTCTAAAATTGAGAGGATTCTTTGACTATTTTTGCAATTTCATAAAGTCTTATGTTACATATTCTCAATACAAAATTATTCAATTTTAGGAACATTAAAATGAATTACATTGCACTAAAGGTCTAACACAAGGGTGCCCCTTATCCCAATACCTCTTCACTTATTGTGTTAATATTCTCTCTCATATGTTCATGGCTAAAATTGATGATGGAAATCTTGTTGGCTTTCAATTTGGTAAAGGTGCATGAAAAATCAAACACATACTTTTAACAAATGATATACTAATGTTTCAAGTGGCCAAACAATCAGTTTTAATAAACCATTTATTTTATTAAACCACAACATTCACAAGCACAACATAAGTCTTTTTGCTAACTCTTTTGGTATCCAATCAATGAAACATAATGCCTCACTCTTAGTTAGAGCTAAAGATAAAAAAAGAGAATTGCAATTTTAGCATTTAGAATATCTAAGGCCATGTTTGGGAGTCTTTAAAAATAAGTGCTTATATGGGCCATTAAGCACTTATTGGTATTTGGGAAATAAGCCTGAAATAAGTGCTTAGTTTTAAGCCCAAATTTATAGCTTTTTTTAAGTGCTTATACAATGAGCACTTATTCAATTTTTATCTTTTAAAATTATCCTAGTTGAATTTTATAAAAGTACTTTCGTAAAAGAACTTTACCAAAGTACTTTCATAAAGTGCGTTGATTAAAGTGCTTTTATAAAAGTACTTTTATAAATGTACTTTAATAAATGTGCTTTTGTAAAAGTGCTTTCATAAAAAGTGTTTTTATAAAATTAATTTAATAAAAGGACTTTCATAAAGGTATATTTTGAATTTTTGAAAGAAAACGAAAGCCAAATTAGTCACAAATGTTTATTTAAGTACTTATTGGAGAAAAAGACTGCCAAATGTGCCAAATGCAAATAAATTCTTATTTGAATAAGCACTTGTTTTCGTGATCTTCCATGTATTGTCATCGAGAGATGTTTCTAATGTACGACTGGGATGTGCTGTGGAACGTTGTGGGGTGCTAATGTGAACTCACTACTGATGGCTTTAGATATATGGTGGTTTGAACTCTTACTAAGAATGACTATTTTTCATGATCTTCCATGTACAAATCCCTTGTAAATGGTAGTACTTAATTGTCCATTGATCATCACATTGCCTTTTCTAATACTAGTATTTGTGTGACAAATTTTATAATGATGATAGTATATTCCATATTTTTCTACATTTTTTTTTATATTTTTATGTCTATAAAACTATTCTTATTTTTCACACTTATTATAGTTCATTAATATAGAAATATACCTGGTTGTTTTTTACATAATTTATATATATTTTTGTATACTTTTGTGTTTTTATCTTTTTAAAAAAAAGCTTTATTATCTATTATAACTTCACAAGTTGATACATTTGAACTAAAATGCTACATTGATCTACCATCAAATAGGAAAACGATTTCACTTTTTGATTAATTTTGAAATTCGTATTTTATTTATATCATCAATAAAAAGTTAAAAACAATTATTGTTTATCGTATCTAAGTTTTAATATGATTAATATGAAATATTAGAGATGTGACCAAATGTTTTTCTATAGATTTTTTTTATTTTTTTTGTATATATATATTTTTTAATTTTTATTGTTTAATTATGAAATCAATGATTGGCACATATCATCCAAAAGGTTGAATTGTTGACTTGTCACCAAGAAAACAATTTCATTTTTAGGTTGGTTTTAAATTTTATATTTTATTTCCAACATCAATAAAGCAATTATTATTTATCACACTTGTTTTTTTAATATGATTAATATAAAATATTAGATAGGTGCCTAAATGTTATTTACAAAATTTTGTATCATTACATAATGTTTTTGTGCTTTTTATATTTTTTTCATTTTTATTTAATTATGATATTAAAAGTTGGCATATTTAATTCAAAAGGTTGAATTGTTGATTCACCACCACAAAAATAATTTTTACTTTTGGATTGCTTTCCAATATGAATAAAAATAATTATTTATCATACTTATTTTTGTTTATATATATATATATGTGTGTGTGTGTGTGTGTGCGTGTCCAATTTTTTTACATTTGTTATCTATCTACATTTTAAAAGTTTTTTTATTTAATTATGACATCATGAATTAGCCCACTTAACTTAAATGGTTGAATTGCTTATTCACCACCATGATGGAAAAATAGTTCAATTTTTTGTGTAAATTAAGAAAACATGTATTTATATGGTTAAAAGCATTGGATGTAGATCTAATTGATAAAATTTATATTTTCATTCTGTGAAAATAATATCTTAAATATATGATTCAATTAAGGAATGGGAGTTAATAATACAATTTAATGAGAGGTAATTGAATGAAAAGAAATATAGTGTAGTTCAAATTACATTTTGTACCCTCACCATTAGAGAGAAATTAAATTAAAAAATAAGGGCATTATAGTACAAAGTTCCACACCATTATTCACACTTTTAATAATAGTATAAAAACATTAAATGAATATGTAAAATAACATTTTTTGACTTATATATATATATATCGACTTTGCTTTGGGTCTTAAGATGAATAGGTAAAAAGTGTCGGTTTTCAATGATCTGGGTGTTGTTGAATTTGGATTTTTTGGCTTTATATACCTAAGATGTCAGGTTTCTAATTTGACATGAACTGAAGTTTAGGATCAAAATGATCCCGATCGGATGATCGGTATCAATTTTGACTTCAGGTCTTAAGATGAAGGGATAAACAGTATCGGACTTGGATTTTTTGAGTTCTAAGTAGCTATGGTTTTATTTATGATTTGATGTGAAATGAAGTTCAAGATCAAAATAACTTTGACTGAACAATTGAAATCGGTTAAGGCTTCGGGTCTTAAGATGAAGGGATAATTGGTGTTGGATTCTGGTGATTTTGGTGTTATTGGATTTGTATTTTTTGGCTCCATGTACCTATGGTCTTAGATTTATGATTTTACATGAAATGAGGTTCAATATCAAATTGACTCCAATCGGACAATTGGAATCGATTTTGGCTTCGAGTCTTAGGATGAAGGGGTAAACGATGTCGAATTCAGGTGATCTTGGTGTCGTTAGATTTGGATTTTTGGGATCTACGTACCTATGATTTTTTATTTCTGATTTGACGTGAAATGAGGTTTATGATGAAAATGACTTTGATCAGACGATCAGAATCAACTCTAGCTTTGAGTCGTAAGATGGAAGTAAAATGGTGTTAGATTTCAGTGATGTAGGTGTTATTGATTTGGGATTTTTAGGCTCTATGTACCTATGGTGTCAGATTTATGACTTGACATGAATTGAGGTTCAATATCAAAATGATCTTGATTGGACGGTCATAATCAATTTCAGCTTCGAGTCTTAGGATGAAGGGGTAAACAGTGTCAGATTTGGATGATCTTTGTGTCGTTGGATTTGGATTTATGGGATTTACGTACCTATGATTTTAGATTTTTTATTTGACATGAAACGAAGTTTAGGATCAAAATGACTCTGATTAGACAATTAGAATCGGTTCCGACTTCAGGTTTTAGGATGGAAGGGTAAATGGTGTTGGATTCGAGTGATCTTGGTGTCTTGAGATTTGTAATTTTTGGCTCTACGTACTTATGGTATTGGATTTGTGAGGCTCTTACTTTTGTAAAATTCAAAAAATGTCCCTAAGTCAGTTGAGATGTTAGATAAAGCCTGATTAAAACTTTAAGTTTTCCTAAAAGACTAAAGGGCACAAAAATAGGATGTCTAATTTATGTTTTATTAAATTTTAAATTTGTATTCATAAAAAATATTAAAAACTACAATTTGAGGCAAAAAAAGGGGATTTGGCAAACATAATGGGATATGGAACACTGGGATGCATGGATATTAAAAAGTTACCAAAATAAAAAAAAATCACAACAATCGGACATCAAAATGCCAAGTTAGGCCTCCCAAAGTTTGCTTACATGATTAGTATACAACCCGTAGTGGGTTGAATGGGTCAACTGTCCAACCGTCTGGGTTGGACGGTTTTTTTTATCAAGTCAATGGTTTTTAACCTCTCTCCAACCGTCTTTGACTTGGAGTTCAATTGGCTAGTCAAAGACGAGTTGAAAATACTGGCCATCACAACTCAAACAAGCCATGATGGAAAGGGTTAACAACCCAGCGTTATCTCACTTCCGCTCTTACTACTTTTTCCTTCAAACCCCTCTTGTTGAAGCCAACTTTCCTATAAAATTCATTGTTTGCAATAATGCATGAAATTTCATCTAAAAACTCGAAGCTAGACGATTCAATTTCATGGAAATTTAGAAGAGGATGGCTTGTATCTTGTTCCATCACATCGAGTACAGGAGTTGATCATCTGAGGAGAATAAGTAAACCAACTGTCCCCATGGCCCATTTCCACAATATATATATATCGTTTATGAAAGGCTTAGATTCGGAAACATCCAAAACTGTTCAATAAAAATTCCATAAGCCAAGACCCCGCCATTCGCACTTTTATAGATATTATAGATTAGTTGTTGAGCTTTCTTGAAGTTGAAAGGCATTCCCGCTCGTGCCAATATGTTAATTTTGGAGGTGTTTGATGGACAACCTTCTTGTTGAAAGAAACATTGCTATATTGATGAACAACCATCCGATTAGCTGATCTTCTTTGTCATTGGGTTCTTTTTAACTAATGTTGCTAGTGAGCCATTTGAACCTCTTTGAGGAATTATTGGTAAAAAAACAAAAAAGCATAGTGATGAATCCAATTATCTATTTTTTGCTTGTTGTTTAATTATTCTTTGACATGCTTGGAAATGGACGTACAATAAAATCATGGAAGGGAAAAGCTTTCACCTCTCAACATTGTTAGTGCCAACGCTTAGATTCATGAACTACAATCAAGTACGAGTTATCACCATCTCATCCTCCCATCTTGTATAAGAGGTTTTCCTGTGCTTCCCTTCCTTTCCCTACTTTATTTTCCCCTACCCCCTTCTCACCTCAGTCTCTCTTCCTGCTTCCCCACTCCCGGCCCCCTCTCTCTTTTCCGGAAAAACCTTCTATCTGCCTCCTTTTCTCTCCTCATCGGAAAGTTCTAGATCCATATGTTGCAACTGGATTCTTGTTTCTATCCGTGTTTATCACTTTTTTCCTGCTCTTAGCCCCTCTCTTCTTCTCTCTCGTCCAGGAACCGTAGATTCTAAACAACGACTCCTAACTCATCATGGAAGAGATCACCTAGAACAGTGGACTCCCAAATCTTCTTTGCACAACAGCCCAAATCCTAGCTTGTCGTTAACTAGCACTGGAACAGAAACCCTAACCTTCCCCTAAATCTTTTGTTTGCATAACAACCTTAACCCTACCTAACTGTTAACCAGCATCGGAATCAATATCCATCCGCATTTGAAACCCTGGGTTGGAAACTAATCTGAAATAACCCAAAGGAACACCCATTTGCGTTTAACACCATGGCTTTGCCTCCCCTAATGGTGTTTGAAAATAGAATGCCCTCAATTATGTTTTATTTTCGTTCTTTTCTTATCTAATTCTAAGAAACACTATTTTAGATTTAGGGAATTTTATAGGATTGGTTCTATTGCCGGAATGAGTTTCCATGGGTTCTTCAATTGGTGCGTTTAGCTTTCATGGGTTATTCAATTGGCGCGTTTAGTTCCTCTTCATCCGGTATGTTTAGTTCGACGATTTATCTGTGGTTTTACTTATTTATTTTCTTTGGACTTTGGTTCCACTAATCATTAGTTTATGAACAATGTTTCAAGGAAGTTTATGGTTGCATCTGTTGTTCAAAGGAGTTTGCATGGATTCTTCAACTGGTAAAATTGAGTGCTATAGGAATAGTTGCTGTTTTTTTTTTTTTTTCCTTTTTTTTATTTTCCCCTTTTTTGAGTGGCTTCACAACTACTGGTTGTTTCTGTTCACTGTAGATATCGTTATTTTGACATTTGGGAGCCTTTAGCCTCTTGTAGATAGTATTTTTAGTTGTTTGGGAGCCTGTTAGATTATAGATTTTCGTTTTCATATACTGGCTTCCCATATGCAAGGTTTTGTCATGGTATATTGGTATGTAAGCCGTTACCTTCCCCAGTGGTGGATCTGTTTGTTTGAGAGAGAAGAGAAATGGGTCTACAAATTTAATTGTAATTTTTCATTTATTTCTTTTGGTTTTCTATTGTTTTAATTGCTCTATGTTTTCTTTAGGCTATGTTTAGTTTGAATGAAAAGGTAGGGAAAGGAAGGGAACGGTAAGGAAAACTTTACAAATCTTTACAAACCTTGTATAGTTTTCTTGTCTTTTCCTTTCTTTCTCTACCTTTTCCTTCAAACCAAGCATAGTAATGAAGTATGATGGGCCATTAGATTTATAGTAATTTGGGTTTTGTATATTTAGTTTACTAGACTTTAGACCATTACTAAATACAAATTTGAACCCATTTCTTGACAGTTGGCTTTTTCTAAGGAAGGTGTTTTTTGAGGCTTTGATTTTATGAAAGGTTTTCTTGTCTCAAATTTGTTGTTTCTAAGTCCATTTAATGGGAGATAGGGAGAGATGAAATTCTTTTGTCAGGGTTTATGTCTAAATTAATAAGATTTACTTGGTAGACTTCTCTTTTCTGTCTCTTCACCACTCTCTCTCTCTCTCTCCATGAAAATGCATCTTTAGATCTTCACCCTTTAATCTTATCTAGAGCCCTTTTACTCACACCCCAACATTTATAGGGAACAGATGCATGCAATTCCAATTGTTCTAACTTCTTCATCGACCTTCATGTATATTTCTCAGGTTCCATTAGTTTCTACTATTTAATATAAAGTTCTCATGATTTTTTGCTTTGATTTGATCCAGTTTTTTTGTTTTATTTATAGGTTTTGTTTCCTGAATTTATATTGACCAATTTTGAAAGACATGGAAGAATTTTTCCAAAATTCTTTATATTCTTCATCAGTTCTGAGATATCTATCAACAAAAGTAGATAGGTTTGTAGGAAATTTTAGTACCCGGAATTTCCTTAAACCTAAGTTATTGATGTGGATGGATCATTCATATTATTTTTCTAGATAAGTAATAAAAAAAATGCTTAAACCTTTTCATGGTGACTGACTTTCTTGACAGCACAGAAATGATAAAATTTTGTAGAAAGACAGATTGATACAAACAATTACAGCATGACTACTCAAGTAAGGAAATTTCTAGAATTTGTGCTGATTCCAACTTTTTATTAATTAATTATTAATCAATTGAATTTGTTCCAATTGTTTTTCCTTTTCTGCCAGGAGAATGAATATGAATCTCTCTCTCTCTGTCTCTTATATAATTAAAAAATTAAAATGCTAATGTAAAAAATTTTCCTCATCATGGGTTTGTGTGTTTATAGGGCAAGAAAAGGGGAGGAAGGGGATCTCTTGTTGGAAAATAATAAATAAGGCAGAATAGAACTTATCGGTAATCGCTTTCCAAATCGAGAATTTGTAGAAATGTAAATAGGAGAAATTGCAGAGAGAATGAGAGCTGAGTTGTGCCACTTGGTCACTTTTCTTAAAACCGTATTTGCCCCCTATGGTGTAGTTGGGCAATTGCAAATCGATCATTAAGATAAGACAACCCACAGGTCACTGGTAGTTGTTCACTCGCTTCCCAGACTTTTGCGAACCACCAAGAATGATGCTCAGAAAATTGACAATCGATAGAAAGAACAAATTGTTTTATGTGCACTGTTGATGTGTGTTTCTGAATAAACTTTGAAGTTCAAAAGTCAAATTCTTAGTAAATTTGTAATTTCTATTTGATTATGTTTTTTTTTTGCTTTATTCATTGTAATTTTTTTTTCTTTGAAGTTTCAAATGGGAATTCAGATTTGATGTAAAATTAATGTATTAATAATTTTGAATTAGTGAATTTGATTAATTCACAACCCACCTAGGCTTACCTTGTCATRTTTGAATTAGTGAATTTGAAGTTCACAATCCACCAAGGTTCGCTCATGCATGTTTGCTAGAACCTAACCCACGTAACTTATATTGTCATCAAAATTGACATTTCTCATGAGATACTACACCCTTTTTTCATTGTCAATCTCATAAATGTTAACGAACTTCCTTTTTCTTTTTGATGGTGCAACTTTTAAGGAACCAAGACATCATATATCCTACTTTAAAGACCAACATATTAATAATTTTCAAGAAACTATTTTTTTAAGTAGTAATGTATACAAGTCATCGCAGGGGCCCCTACGCCAGTATATATAATCAAGACAAACATGTATTGGGATGGGGTCGGGATGGGCTCAAGCCGGGTTGAAGCCCAACCTAAAAGAAAAACATACTTTTGGGACTGGGCATAGTTTGAAGATCGAAAATTCAAATCCAACTCATATAAATTTGCGGATTGGGTCAATGCAGTATCAAATTGGGCTCACCCAAGCTACAACTCTACCTCTATTACTCTAAGGGTTCGTTTGGGAATGGCCATTCACCGAACGGAGGAATCCCATTCCACGTGGAAAATAGGATTTCCAATCGGATCAATTAAATAGTTGGCCCATTCCAATTCCAACTCAACTCCAAGTACCTATTCGGCTATTCCCGCTAACCAAACGGACCTAAGTTTTGAGTCGTGCAAACAACTAAACAGTTGTTTCCTTAATTAAGTTAAAATTATGAATAATTGGTTCATTAACATTATTTTAAATTTTTAATTGATCATCGCATAGCATTGGATATCATGGGGCCCCGCTACAATGTATTAAAATTTAAAAGACAAACTAATCCTTTGGCCAAACAACCCTCGTCCCTGAAATAGATTCTCAGTTTTCAAGTATAATATATAATTCAATATTTAAGATTTATAATTTTTTTTGGATGGATGCTTTAAAGTTTAATCCAACGGTTTATCGGGACCAACGAAAAGCGGAATTTTAAAACCGGAGTACCCATCTTAATCGAACGGGGGACGTAGTGGAACATATTATGAGTGGAACATATTATGAGTGGAACATATTATCAAGAATTTAACCCAAAAGCTGAGATTGGACGTAGTGGAACATATTATGAGCCAAGCTGTTTGCCAAGCTGGCGAAACCCTCGTCCCACGATCCTAATGACTCTCAAATTCGTTGTCCGCTTAGAAGTTGCCACGTGGTCGTAAGCAACAGAGCAACGGCGCTGTTCTGGACCCCTTTCAGATCAAAACGAAAACGAAAAGAATACCACCTTCCTTCCTTGCCTCTCTCTCTCTGTCTCTCGTCTTACAATTCGGTCGGCCTCGCTTTGGAGCTTTGGAATCAAAACAAAACCACCGTCTTCGCGAATTCTCTACCCTTTCTGAATATTCTAGAATTAATCTCGATTTTATTATCTCTGTAAATCCTTTTCAAGTTTCGATTTTTTATACCTTTTCCGAGGAATCTTTCCGGATTTTCTGACAGTGAAGTCGCCGGAAAATTTGATTTCCGGCCCGAATTGATGGAGTCCACTGAAGTTTTGTCATCGGTTATGGCCTACGGCCTGAAAAATGCTTCTGACTGGTGGGAAGAAATCAACGATTCTCCTATGTGGCAGAATCGGATCTTTCATGTCCTCGCCGGACTCTATGGCCTTGTCGCCGCCATCGCCCTGGTAAATCACTTTCTCTGTCTGTCTGTCTGTCTGTCGATACCTATTTGTCCCTTTATTGAATATTACTGATATTTGAATTGATATTTTGGTTTGAATTTCATAGAATTATGTTGGCTAGGGCTTCGATAAATTTTCGACTTTTTGTTCTTTAGCGTCATTCTGTGTTAGGGTTTATTACAATAAAAGTAGCAGAATGTTCTTGTAGAAACAAGAATGGTTAGGGTCATTGACGATAGGTGATGGATTACATGTTTGGTAGTACTCAGGTTTGTTTTCTTCGCTGGGATTGCAAATTTTGATATTTTGCTTTATCATGTATTTGGAATTGATGGAGTTAGATTTGCAGATCCAACTTGTACGAATAGAATTGAGAGTTCCCGAGTACGGTTGGACCACGCAGAAGGTTTTCCATTTTCTGAACTTCCTGGTGAATGGGGGTTTGTATCTGTTTATGTGCATGGTTACGTTGTGAAAGAGAATGTCTGGTCTTTTTGGTATTCTTATTAAATATGCCGGCTTGCATTTTGCAGTTCGATCGTTGGTTTTTGTGTTTCGTCGGAATGTTCAGCGGATAAAACCTGAGGTATGGATAAACGTTTTTTGAATTTACTGATCAAGCAAAATAAAGAAGTTTATTGAGTTTTACTAGTTCCTGCTTATCCTTGCTTGGAAATTTCTGTTTAATTTTCTACAATGATGGTTGTCAGATTATCCAACATGTTTTGCTTGATATGCCAAGCCTTGCTTTCTTCACAACATATGCTCTTTTGGTTTTATTCTGGGCAGAGATATATTATCAGGTTGGAGATCCAGATTTGGTTCATTTTCTTCCAGTGCTTGTTGGATAACAAATTTGTTTTTCCTCGTCTGACATACTGCTTTACAGGCTCGTGCTGTTTCTACTGATGGGCTTAGGCCTAGCTTCTATACAATTAATGCAGTGGTTTATGCTATACAGGTATAGCCTTGGTTTCTTGTGTTAATCAATGTAAAGGTCCACTTAATGTAAAGTCCCAGAAAAAGGGGAAGTTTGTAACATTAGCCACTTCTGCATGGCAGCTAGTGTTTCATGAATACGGAATTATTATGCGTTTTCCCCCTCATTTCTCTTTTCCTTTTCTTTGATAAATGTCTAAGTTTGACTGTCAGACACGTGACATCATAGTTGGAGCTCGGGCAAGATGGTGCATAACAAGCTAGCAATCATAAACAAATGGGAAGGGATTAAAATGCACTCATTTAACAGACCTGGCGAACCAGTCCAACGTTTTGAATTGAATGATTGTTTATTTTATATCAAGTTATGCCTCTTTATGTGCACATTGTACTTCAAATCAAATGCCAAATAGTATGTTTGCATTATTTTCTAGCTTAAATGCTGCAAATACAATAGCATCATTATTTATTTTTTCATACCTTACATCTGAAGTGATAATGGTAATGGGGCTGGAACCTGATTTTGGTATGAGAAAGTTGATATTTGGCAGGGAGATTCCTATCCTAGAGTGTTCTTCCCTCAATGACATTATGGCTCCACTTTCCCCTCTTTTTGATGTCTCTCAGACTCCACCTATGGAAATGATATGGCAATTTTACAGGAATTGCTATTTTTTGGAGTGTTTGCTGAAAGGGAACCAATAATCTTCAGTAATAAGGAGTTAAATGCGAATATTCATAATAACATCACCAGGGTGAGGATGTGCACTCAGTTCTTACAAAGAAAGAACTCAAGGGGGTGATGATGGACTCCTTGTTGAGAGGCTAGTTTATTGTGGCTGGCCTAGTTCGTCATTGTATTGCTTGTTGTCTGAAAAAAAGAATCCAATTTTTAAAAAAGGATGGTTTTAAAATTTCAGTTCATTACGGAGTTTTTAGTGTTTGAGTTGGCATTAAGTTCGGTTTTTATAGGTTAGGGATGTAGAGGTGTTTTTAGAATTCCAAGAGCGTTTGTTAGGTCATTCAAAAAGTTATACAAGATATGGAGGATTGTGCTGGTATATTAAGATTTTTAGACTTTTGAAGGAGCATTTGTCTTGAAAGCTGTCATCTGGTTAAACTAAAGAGAGAGATGCTTTCTCTCTTTCCACCCTTCTTTTCGTTGTTCCCCCCTCTTTCTGAGTCCTTCTACATATTTAGTCTATTTTTTTTATGGTAAAATAAAGTTTATTAAAAGAACAATGGATGTACAAGAGAAGGTGTCAAAGTTTTACCCAAAAGAGAAAACAAAACTGCTATATAACAAAGACCCAGCCTTTACTCAAACAGGTGAAAAACTTGTACACCCAGTCACCCATCCTAGAAGACAAGAAAATTCCAAACCACAATAGAAAATTCATTTGTCACCGATCAGCATCAAAACTAGCAGCAGCCTCTTCCACCCCCAATCTTCAGCTCCAACCTTACACTCATCTGACAAACCGCTTCTGCTTCCCAAATCAGTAACCCCCATTCAACTCACATACAACTAAGACATCCTACTGATGAAAACTGGAGTCCATATTAGTACCACTGATATTTTTATGATTTTGTCCAATAATTCTGCTGCTATATTGACTTGATTAGAATCCAATCTAATTCTCCTTTTACTAACCTTTTAATTTTCTTCACATTTTTATGAGGACCAACCCCAAATAAACCTCCTTTCAACTTGGCAAATACCTTGGAAACTTGGATGGCTCTTTGATTTTTTTGACTGTTAAAGCATTTGATAGCATTGGAAATCTTCTTAATTGCCCTCTAATCTTTATCCTTAGATCTACCAATCAAAAAAATCCTTGTGATTCCTTTTCAAAGAAGTTGTCTTGAGCTTTCCTTTTTCAGAAATATTTTCATCTTCTCTCTCTCTCTCTTGTTTCTAACTCTTAAAAAGCCTTCTTTGCAAACTACTCTCCTAGAGAAAAATAGGCTTAGTGTTTTTTTCTCACCTTGATTCTAGGCGATTCTAGGTGACATTGGGGTGTCTAGTTGCCTAGTCACCTAGGCGGCGGGTGCCTGGTGATGCCCGCCTAGGTGATACCTAGGCAATGAGAATTTTATATAATGAAAACTAACTCTTGGCTAGTTCTCTAGTTTTATATATCATTCAGCATGCATATTAATTGAAACGATAGCAATTCTCTTTATTAAGAACATTAAATTTGTTCTTGAAACGTGGAAAATCGTCATATCTAAAAGATAAAATGTTATATGTATATTAGTTTCAATTTGATATTTTCAAAAATAATACTAATTTTAAGTATTTATTAGGGCAGTTTCATATCAATTAGCAACTAAAGAAGGCTATAACTTTATATGATAAAAATTCAAGATGAAAAGTATAAGAGAAAAAGAGCCAGAAGAGAGATGCTGCTTTATTTAATGTAAGAGGGGGGGGGGGTAGAAAATACCAAAAAAAGAACCCTCTCTATACTTCTATTCTTTCTTTCTTTTTCTCAAAACCCTTTAGTCTTTTAAATTTTAATAGTAAAATTTTAAAATAAAGTACGGGTGATAATATATAGTATAAAATAGAATGTGTTAACACAGATATTAGTAAGACATGACAATATGAATGATATTATAATAAGGCACTTGACTTGCCATTTTTGTCCCCTAGGGCGGGTGCCTAGTCATCTAGGTGGGTTCCCAGGCGATACCTTGACAACTATGCTACCTCTACATCAACTAATATATCAATTGTATGGGTTTCATCCATAACCACTTCTTCAATCTAGTTGTTTTCTTCTACCTCTCTCCACTGATTCTTCATTTTTTTAGATTGGTTTTGTTCTATACCTTCTGTTCCTAGTGATTTAAAAAGTGTGCCTGAGGCGTGCCTAGGTGCACAAGTGAGGCACATTTCGAGGTTCGTGCCTTGACTAGATTGAGACACATAAGGCTGCAAATGGATCAAACCCGATTTGGTAAGGGGTATACCCGATTTGATTTTATAAAAAAATTCGGTCGAGTTGAATTTGGTAAGAATCTGCTGGATTTTGTAATTTTTTTTTGATAAACGAAGAAAAAAATTTATTACAACTGTTGGATTTTGTAATTCATGATTCAAATTTGATCCGATCCATCGGAATATCACCCTTGTTTGATTTTCTTTTTTTTTTTTTTGATTAGCAACACAGAAAATCATTTATTCATTAACATTTTAAAAGAAAAGGATTACAGCAAGAAGTTGTGAGAAACTAGCAAACCCATTACAGAACAAGCCATCCAACATTGTATTAAATTTTGCCTAGTACATATGTTGTCTTTGAACCCCTTGCTTAGCTAAACCATCCGCTTAGCTGTTTGTAGGTCTTCAACCCATCCTATTTGAACGTTCATGTCTTATAATAGCTTTTTGAAGCCCCTGAATTCCTTTCTAAGTTGCCAGACTACCCCCTCACCCTTTTTCAATCATCCCACTACTATCTTCAAATCAACCTTCAATGATCAAACTACTAATTCCTATCACTTTAGCTATCTCAACTTCAAAAACTGCAACTAAAAATTCTGCTCTTATCAAATCACCTTGCTCAATTGGGCCTGAAAACAAGGCACATATAATACTGCCCTCATCTCTAATCTCCCTTCCAATTCTTAAGGGACCCAGATTACCCACACTAGAGCCATCAAAGTTCAATTTCATCCAACCACCCACTAGGGGTGACCAAACCTCTAGGATATTTTGTTTCCTAGAGGAAGAGCCAATTATTGCCTCCAACTCTTGAAGTAGTCCATGTTAAAATTTGAAAAGAGTTTCAAGGTCTTTACCCAATGTGCCACTCTTTAGGGTCGCTTATGAATCTAACTGTGGCACTTTTTTCGAACCAAACTGGTACCACCGTTTTTTTGATGAATAATGGTAACACCGGTTTTTGGAAAACCAGAAACTGAAACTGAACCGAAGCCAATCAGTTACTAATTGATTGGTTTCTTTGGTTTTTTGAATTTATAATACATGTTATAAATAAATATATAATTGTATAATATAAATACTAGAAATATATGTAATATATTATATTATAAATACTAAATACTAAATAATATATAATATATATTTTTATATATATGATGCATATATATTTATATTTAATACATAATATATGAAAAGTATATATATATATATATTTGTTTAACTGCCGGTTTTCATATATGTTAATCGAAACTGAGCTGGTACCTTTGGTTTTTCCAAAACACCAAAACCGGGTTTTTTGGTTTTTCAGTGTTCAATGATCACCCCTATCATTGCTTTCTTACTCCTCTCCTCCCCAAATGTTCTTGTAATTCTTTCTTCCCACATAGTCCAAATCATTGCTGTCCTTGTGCATTTCCATAGAATCCTGCCCCTCCTTTTTGTGCTTCTCAAAACACAAGGGCTAAACAAATAGAAAAATTGCCTGGTTGTTTCTCGTTTCTTGGAGCTTCAAAATGGGTTTGGAACAATACAACTTACATGGCCACTTGTCCTGGCTGAAAGGTAGAGGCTAATCAATTGATTCTTGGCATTCGGTGTCCTCTCTAGTAAAATATGATCTTCAAAATAAAAGAAAAGAAGAACAACTTAGGGTTTGGCTTACTACGGAAGAAGGAAAAGAATAGACGGGGTGATGGGAGATCAATGGGAGCTTGTCAGTTGAAAATGGTTTGGCGGTTTGAGGTTTGAGGGTTTCTTGTGTTCTATATTCCAAACGAAGGGGAAATAAGAAGAGGGAAAAGGAGAATTATCTAATTAGGGCTAAAGTCTCAATAAGTTAGAAATGATTTTACACATTTAGACACGAAAAAAGTATAAAATTACAGGCCTATAAATAAAAGGTATAAATGCCAAAGCAACTAAATATTTTTAAATTATATATATGTATATGTATATGTGTTTGTGTGTGTATATATATAATATGCATGTATTTAATGGATCTTATCAGATCGAATTGGGGATATATCGATTCGATATCTAATCGGATCAGATTTTCTGGTTTGATTTGA